ATATATCAGAACATTGAGGTTTTCCACTGCATAATGTATTTATATAACGTAAGTCATAATTATTACAAGCATGTGATAAATCAGATTGACATGAACTCGCATCAAAACCAAGTCTCAATGGAAATGAACGAATATAATCAATAGATATAAGATATTTAGGAAGATTGGGTTGCCATGAACGATGATCTGATAAAGATGGAATTTGAGGACATTCAAGTGATATTAATGAATAACTTGGACATATTGTTACTGTACGATTAGGTAATTCATATTCAAAAACTAAAAAACAAGAATTTATTATTTTTATTTGAAGAAAAAATTACAGAAAATTTCATCTGTTTACATCTAGCATCGACTACAATCAATGCTTGTTTGATTAAATTACAAATAATAATAATAAATATTCGCAATAATAATAATTGAAATTGAACCATATTATTTTCTTATCTCATTCCTTTTTTCTTGTCTTATTTGATTAACTTCTCTATTGACTAACTGACCATCATTTTTGTCATCATTTAATCGGTATGTGTCAATATCTCTATGTGCGTGTTCAATGCGAAATTATTCCAAAACGAATGATCTCTTCTAATAAAAAAAAAAATAAAGACAAATAAAAAAAAGTAGAGGCAGGTAAAGAAGAGAGAAAGTAAAAAGGACGACGATATGTTGCTCATCTTCGCCCACACCCCCTACAAACATCCACTCACACATCTGTGTACACGTTGTGTATTCTCCTCATTACATCGACATTTTGAATCAAAAAATGACACACAACGAAATAAAGAAGTGAAGACTAATCTTTTTTAACGGGATGAGTTGTACCGATGACGAAATAACAACGATAAGCCATTGCTAGTGATTGTACTATTATATATAGTAGTGACTAACACTAGAAGGATAAAAGAGATATGTACAAGTTAATTGGAGTTATCATTGACGTACTCAGAAATTGTGGATTGTTTTCTTCTTTTCTTTTTGTATATCAACAGATACAAAAAAAAACAACATTGAAATAATTTAACATTTGTCCATAAAAACAAAGTATTTAATAGTGCTGACCATGAACCACTTGTCTCGATCCAGCTTACTCTGGCATTTTTAACCTTTTACCAAAATATATGTATGTCATATGTAATAGAAATTATTAGAAAAGTTTTATGATCGAGAAGAACTATGTGAATTTCAAGTACGAGTAATATAATAAATCATATTAACCACTTACACTAATCATATCTCTATTCACATAAAGTGTTCCGTAGTGCATACATTACGTTAATTAGCATGAGAATGATATAAACAGAAAAAGTATGTCGAAAATAAAGGATTATCAATAATAGAAGTAGTAAACAACTGTTTATTTAACTCTTTATTTTTGATTAGCGAGTGAATCAATAGGAAGTGTACCACTGTCTGAAAAAAAAGTAATCCTATGGATTTTATGAATCCAATATGAATTAGCATACAGATGAAAATAGTCCGTGTATAAGAAGAAAAGTTTCGATACTTAACATTTGAAGTTCTAGCGCATTCTTTAGGAGCTACTCGACTTTTACGTATTATTGTCGAAGTTATATTAGTTAATGCAAATTCGACAGTTATGCATAAAAGTCGAGCTCTTAACTAAACAATAAGCTAAACTTTCTAAGTTCAAGTATTCGAATTTTTTTCTTTTCTCATATATCCCATTTTTGACTGTGTTTTTTTTCTGATTGATCTGATCCTAGTAGATCTACTGATTCCTTTTAATAAAGAGGTGTAAATAATGTTCGCTCAAAAATACATTTACTATTAGTCGAATCTATATAGTATCAACCAATGATTCATATTGTGATGATTTTTCATCGTAAAAGATTTAGAAATATTCGCAAGACATGCTGCTCATTCAAATGTTAGCTTGATAGATCATCCGAAATGTTTGATTTTGTCCAAATACAGATTTTGTATGGTATTGTATTTTTTGTCGTCTATGAAAATAACAATCAACTTTTCATCATGGAACGAAATATTTAGATTTTCAACTAGTAAAAAACTTATTCTTTTTTATGTTATCGCATTTTTATACAGTAGTCAAAAATGTGTTTAAAGAACACAAATAATTTCAAATCCAATAAAACTTTCGACTTCTTCAATATGCATTTTCAAAGTACATAATATATGCATCATCATCAATTAAAATAAAAAAAGAAATTCTACAACCTGTTGCTCTAAATCCAATAGCTGCAAGTATCTCAAGTAAAAGACCACACAAAAAAAAGAACAATATCAATGATACTTGACGAAATAGTTGAAACTGATCATATTCAACATAAGGATACACCAAATCAAGACAAATATTAATAGTCGTAATTCCAATAGTGTCGTCATTTTGAATAGATTATATTTTACTTCAGTTTTGAACTTACAAATATTTTCTACTGCACACAACACTTTGTTTAATTCTAATTTATTGATTTAACCAATTTCATTTTGAAACACATAAACTGTATAACAAGTGTTAATTATAAAAAGAATTGACATAGATACAATGAAGCAGAAACACTCAGAATCGATTTTTCAACGAAAGACAAGAAAGATTTACTAAAAAGAAAATAGATACATGTTTGATACATGATGATGTACGGCATTCTTAGTTGAATAACCTAAGTGCAGCAGCGACCCAATTGATGAAAGAGTATTGCGAATACGTTATCTTCCAATCATGGAAACTTTTCATTTTTCCTCAACGGAAAGAAAAATTTTCTTGTATTCTATTAGACAAAAATCACTTCTTCCTAAAAACGAACATGGCTCTCCTCTCAGTTATCGACGTTGTCGGGTCACTACTGTCTGAATGCTTGTATTCTATATATATTTTGAATTTTGAGAATTGTTGTGATATTTGGAATCAAACTATAATCAAGTACAATGTAAGCAGAATAAAAATAATGTATGTTTTGCATAACGAATAAAGGATACAAAGAGTAAAGAATAGAAATGATATTAAATGCTAGTTTTCAGTTTTTTATGGATCAATATAGAGGTTTGATCCTGATTTTTATAGATGCAGTTGTGTACTTGTGTTCTCAATCATTTGCATATTTATTTTAACGAAAATCTTTGTCGTTGAAAAATGAATATTGTTTTTTTTAGAAGAGAATTTTTGATTTATTATTATTATTATTATGGCCTTTTTTTAGGGAACGTCAGTGGCTATATTTCATATGACATATGAACACTTAGACTTTGATTTTACTTGGCAGTGATTGAAGAAAAAGTGATTTCAAACAATATCTACTCTAACTGATACATAAGTTGATTGAGAAAATACATCTTGATATAGTTCATTCGTAACGAATCAGTTATGTCTCGTAGAATAAAAATATGTGAGAATGTTTTATTATATTTAATCAAAAAGTGATAGGCATTCTAGATAAAAAGATGTAATAGAATAGTAAATCATGAAAACTTCCTATCAGTGCATTATTCTACGATCGAAAATTACCGAATAATCGAAATATTTAGCATAATACAGTTCAAATATAAACTTTGACTAATGCTTTAATGTTTGTGCCACAAATTGGACATGCTACTAAACCATGACCACACGGGACGCACACACTGAAGTGCCCACAAGGTACGAATGCCAATGCTCGATTTCTTGTTGAGCACACAACACAAAGAGTGCCAGGATTTGTTGATTCTTTCTGTGATATAGAACAAGATGACGATTGGAAAATTTGTTCATTTTCATTATCCGATTTGTTTAGACTTGCTGTAGTGGACTGCATATTAACTGTTTTATTATTCTCCGATGGTTCCATGTTTGTGCAGTTGTCAATACTGTCAAGTTCAATCTAAAAACAAAATATAAAACTACAGTAGTGATTAAAATGCGTATAGCAGACGACGAAAAAAAAATATAAACATTAAAATCTATATTAACAAATTACATTTCTCTCGAATTTTTTCCTATTGATTTTAACTTTGAATGATTCCTATCGATTTGTTGGTGTTTAACAAAATCTCTTTCGAAGTAGACTTTAATAAAAGATTCTCTAATAGAGTTTCTATCGACTGTTGTGAAACTTATAGAGTATTTCTTTTTCTAATAGTCATTGTTTCCTATTCTTACGTTATAAAATTGGCAAAGAATAATGAAAAGATAATCTTTCTTATTCGATGAAGTTGTGAAAGAATTTGACGATACAAATTCTTCTAAGATTTTGATATGTTTTTGCACACAATATCTTGCTCGATCTAAGAAAAAAGGATCAAGTTTTTACGCTGTTCTATTGCAACAATAAACCAAAAAAAAGATAACTTAATAGAGAAGCTTCGTGTGTCACCCTTTAAGTAAGAAACGAGAAGAAATAAGTCATTCAATGTTTGACTCGGTTGTTATGAAAAGAAGTTATGACATTCATAACATAAAAAAAAAGCATACTTCTTTTATTCCTATTTCATATGATTCATTTTGTATGCTTTTTCATAACACAATATATTTCAAATGATAGAAACAAAGAATTTCAACAAATATTGGTTGTTGGATATTTCAATGTCAATCTTCTTCTTTGCATTTAATTCTTTATTTTGTTTTCTTGTTCTTTCATTTTAGGATTTCATTTTTTTTTCTCTCATAATCTTATTTAGCTTTTAAATTAGAATATAAGCAAAACTAGCAGTGTATTGTAGTATTTTGAAAAGTTGAAATTCTAATTTTTTTCATACCTATTTCTTTTCTCTTTATAGATAGACAATTATGCCATCACTAGCTCGATCAAATCAACCTCCCAGTCAACAATTGCCAGCACGTGAAAATAGTTAATTTAAAAAAAACTTGTGGTATGTTACTTGATTTTTCTTTTTTAAATCAATATCTCATCATCTGTGATTTAATCAGCGTTTTTATGAATAAAAAAAATGTAAGAAAGAGTTGCTAGAGAAATATTTTAAAAAATATCTGAATTATGGTGATATGTATAAACTGCATTTAACATTATTTTTTTGTTTCCTTAGAAATGTTGGCTATGAAAGATTTAATTCGTAATTATATGATTACAAAAGAAGAGGCTGCAGAAAATATTCGTAATGGAATTAAAAATAATATTACAACTCATGTAGTATGGCATGTCTATGATCTATGGCAACGATACAAATGTAAATGTGATGAAGTAATAAAAGCCATACAATGTGAAAAGATAGGCAAAGTGAGATTATTAGCTTTACATATTAAATGTACGTTTATTTTTTATTGGAAATTATTTAATAAAAATGTATTTATTTTAACAGGATAGTTTGACGATTCTTCATGATTTATCATTATTACAAATTCAAATGTGTGATCTTGAAGGTTATAAAGTAAGAATTAAACTGTCAATCCATAATTTTAATATAAAAATTTTTTAAGGAACACGTCATCAATTATTTAATTTAAAACTTAGTCAACGACAATCATGAATTAGTTTTGTAATATCATATAATTTATTAGGTAATTATGATATAGTACAATGTGTACTTGAAGAATTTCGAAAAAACTCAACAAGATCATCTAGCACTATCATCAGACAAACAATATGACAATAAACATTCAGAATTTTTATTATATCAAAATCTTATTTTACATGAAAGTGAACAATATAAAGATACTTTACGTCATATACAAATATATAAAAAAGATATTTATAATAAATTAGCATTAGCAGAAATAAAATATATTTTATATATGTGTTTTGGGTTCAAATGATCGAGCTGAAACGATTTTACAAGATTTAATTGAACGTAATGTTGAAAATAAAAAATATTATTATATGTTAGAAAAAAATGTTTAGATTTAACGAATATTGATAATAAAACAAAACTATTTGAAAATCTTATTGAAAAGTTTCCTAGAGCTGATGAATCAAAACAAATACATTTATAATTTCTAACCGGTAATAAGATTTTCATTGATCTATGAGCAAATGTTTGGTTTGACACACTAGAATTTGAATTTGAATTTGAATTTGTAACGAAATATTTGAGTATAAGAATATTGTAAAATGGAAGTTATATTTAGTAGAAACTTACTTATACCGTTTTTATATCTTACAACAGATCAAAATTAGACAATTGTTCAACTTAAGAATTATTCGTAATTATTACTCTCTAATTGAACTGATCGACAGAATGATTTTACAACTAAGATCTTGGTAACACGAATGATGCTCCCCGAACACTTGCTCCCACGACAATTGCTCCCCGGACAATTGCTCTCCAGCGACAATTGCTCCCGCGACATTTGCTCTCGTGACATTTGCTCCCCAATGACAGTTGCTCCCCAAGGACAATTGCTCCCCGGACACATGCTTTCCAATCACATTTGCTACCCGAACACATGCTTTCCAATCACATTTGCTCCCCCACTTCACTTGGCCTTAAGCTACGGCTTTTTTTTTGACAAATTCAACATAATGGGCGTGGATGTGGGTGTGGCTAGGGCGTGGGTGTGGGATGTGGATATGGGTATGAGGTGGGTGTGGAGTGGGTGTGAGTGTGGGTTAGGGCCCTTCGGGTCCAAGATCTTTGGACCTGGACTCGGATCCGTTTACAATTTGCTACACCTGTACCCGGAACCGGACGCGCTTGTTTAAAAAATGTTGGACCCGGACCCAACCCGGAGGGTGTGGGTGTGGATGTGAGTAAAGGAAAGATCTATATTTACACCCACCCACACCCTTTTCCTATTTTATTTGTTCTATGCTCTTCATATATTTATAGATCCATACTACCACCTTTCGGAATTCCGATAAAACTGCAGTAAAATTAGCTATATATTTAAAATTAATTCGTGAATTTTCAGGAATCTTAAATTCTGCACGAATTTCTAATCATCTCATTCTTTTCTTAATTTTATCAATTTTTAAGTCTTAAAAAATTATATTGAATTTGTCAACAAAAAAATCGTAGCTTAAGGCCAAGTGAAATTGGGGAGCAAATGTGATTGGAAAGCGTGTGTTCGGGGAGCAAATGTCATAGGAGAGCAAATGTCATCAGGGAGCAATTGTCATAGGAGAGCAAGTGTCCGGGGAGCAATTGTCCTTGGGGAGCAACTGTCCTTGGGGAGCAAATGTCATGAGAGCAAATGTCGCGGGAGCAATTGTCGCTGGAGAGCAATTGTCCGGAGAGCAATTGTCGCAGGAGCAAGTGTCCGGGGAGCATCATTCATGGATTCTAAGATCTTATATATTAATTGAGAAAGCCTCATGAAAATTCTTTATTTAGATACATGACTTAATGACTTTTAGTAAAGTCAAGTACATCAGATAGACTTTATTTCCATTGATAAATCATACTAGACAACTTTTGACTCATGTAAGTGTAAAATCAAAAACATTGTTCTTGGTTTGTTTGAAATTATATAATTAAGACATTTTTTAGCAAAATTGCTACAAACAGTCAACATTTGTGCAGTGGTTTTATCAAAAACTTTTATATTCATTATAATAATTATTTTTATTCTGACAAAATTTTATTGACATTTATTTGTTTAAGTGAACTATTCGCAAAAGTTATTAGATTCTATTTAGAAAGAGGATTTGACAAAGGTGTACCATTACTATTTCAATTTGTTAAGTTTTTATATGGAACACCAGAAACAGTCAGTCATATCTTCTTTGTATTTAAATTATCATATTTTTTCTCTTATAGGTTCAAATAATTGATTCACTCTTACGCACTTAAAGGGTGATTCGAAAGTTTTGGTACCTCGCAGAAAAAATCCCTTTTCTCCCTTATAACAAATGAAGAAAAGCTCAAAATTGGACTGATAGTCAATCATTACCAGATGAGTATTACCCTAAATTTTCACAACCATAACTCAAGTTATAGTGAAGATATATAACTTTGAACTAATAGAAAAATTTTTTTCGCATGACGAAATCAAGTAACGGATGTCCATGATGACTTCTCCCACCCCTCGTATATTGTATCTTTCTTTTTCACTTTCTAATATCTTTCTTGAAAGCACAAAATATGCCAGAAGATGCAGCTTGAAAAGCTCTACGTCCTACAATGCAAAGCTTATTTTATATATGGTCCTTTAGTACACATTTCTAAGTGAGCGAATTCGGATGTTGCGAAAAAGTAATTTTTTATACACGATGAATTCTTTTTTTAAATTTACTCTTTTCATCATTTTCATCCATTTTGAACACTAAAGGACCATATATAAAATAAGCTTTGCATTGTAGGTTGTAGAGCTCTTCAAGCTGCATCTTCTGGTATATTTTGTGTTTTCAAGAAAGATATTAGAAATTGAAAAAGAAAGAGACAATATACGAGGGGTAGGAGAAGTCATCATGGACATCCGTTACTTGTTTTCGTCATGCGAAAAAAATTTTTCTATTAGTTCAAAGTTATATATCTTCACTATAACTTGAGTTATAGTTGTGAAAATTTAGGGTAATACTCATCTGCTAATGATTGACTATCAGTCCAATTTTGAGCTTTTCTTCATTTGTTATAAAGGAGAAAAGGAATTTTTTCTGCGAGGTACCAAGACTTTTCGATCACCCTTTATTAGTTCATTCAACTGTATTAACTCAACATTATCCACGTTCACAATTAAATATAGTTATGTATGAAGAACAATATTTACATGTTTATCTAATACACTTTGTTTAACAATGCTTGATGCTAATTTACCAATGAAATATGCTTTTGTAGTTGTACCAATTATTCAACAATCAACGAAAGATCTTTTATCATTACCAAAAACAAAAGATAAATTAGCATTAACAACATATTTTGTTTTTATTTTTGAAATAATATTAAATGATATATTGACTATGCATGCAAGTGGAAAATTTGATATGAATATACTCTTAAACAAGCTATATATATTAGCTAAACAAATAGCTAGATAGATATTTGAATTTTATAGACAAGAACTTGAAAAAAGACTATCTTAGGAGACGAAAATTAATAAAAACATTTTTTTCCGTTATTTTATTTCAGAATATACAGTTATTTTCATTATTAAATACTTCATTTTCTAGTTGTTTTCTATTGTGATTTTGATTTGATGATAAAGTCTCTTTCTTTACATAGAACACATATACATTGACTCGAGTACATTTTACTGAATGTTTTTTTATTCCGAAAGTCACAATCTTCTGACTACTATAATTCAGCTTTCTATTATAGTTTTAATCGGATTAGCTGAAATAAATAACTTGTTACTAGTGAATATTGACAAGTGTATTAACTTTGTTCTAGATATTGCACATTATTAATATATAAAAGAAAAAATGTTCAAAACCTATGCTTCTTCTAAAACAGCAAAGAATAAATAAGAAAAAAAAAGCCGATAATAACATCATCATCATCATCATTATCTTATAACAATAGTGCTAATGACAAGTAAAATAAACTTGAATTGTTAATCAATATAATTTCTTTTAATAGGAAGTACTTGGCTTGAGAATAAAATCTTTTTCTATTGTTATACCAACCGTTTCTTTTCAACAATAATCGCTTATTTCAACAAGATCTAGTTCAGTTATTGATGCTAAACCAATAGAAGAAAAGAAACCAGTTGCAAAAACAGTTCAAACTAATATAATCAAGAAAAATGAAGCAAACAAGTTTGTATTTTGAGTTTTCTTTTTCAATCAGAACTAATGATTTGAAAATAGATGCAAGTCAAATATTGACATACTTTATTTAAAGTGAAATTTTATATTATAAATTTATTCGAGAATAAAAAATGTCAAAGAATGAGACTAATTCAGCATCATTTTATCCAAATACATTGATTGTTAAAGAAATCTCAAATTTGATCAATAATAATCAATTTGACAAAGCTCTTAACTATCTTACATCATTAATTGAACAACAAATCTATGAATCTATTTGAGATTTATGTACCTATCTATTTAATTTATACGAGAAACTATAAAAATAAATTATATAATGAATATAAACTATTTTCTCAAGATGCTTTAACACATATTACAAAACATGGCAATCCACGTGAAATGTTGATTATTATTGTTGAACAATCTGATAAATTTATATCAGATGAAGTATATTCATTTCATATAAAATTATTTTCTATAATTATTTAACGTTTACCATTAAAATCTATTTTAATAACATTAATTCATGATATTCTTTCATTATTAAAATATTATTTGACTACACTTGAATTACCAACAATTAATAATGATTTTCCAGGTCTAGTTGATTATTAAAAGAAAATGAATATTTTGTTTTTAGGTAATGACTTACTAATATTTAATCATGATCGACATGTTGTTCATTTACTTTAAAGTATTCTATTTTTTAATATCAAATTCCAACTTGATCAAACTATTTGAAATAATCGAAAAATTTCTTATCATCTTGTTTATTATATGTATTAAGCTTTATGACAAATGAATCGAATGAGATAAGATGTACATAGAGTTGACATTTAGTATTCTACATAATACAAGCAGATACACACATATAAAAAGAAGAAAAAAAAACAGAATGAGTACGAAAGATTCATGATATAAATTTAACTGGTGGTACATGTTTTTCTGCAAAGCATTTATTACATACCCATTCGGCATAATTTTCTTGATTAAGCATTTTTAAGGCTTGTTCTGTTAATCCAACACATGTTCGATGATAGAAAAACTTACAACCTAATTGACAAAATACTGTTTCTTCATTATCTTGTACTTTTTTATGACATGAACCACATATAACAATTGATGATGAATTTGAATTTTGTGGATTATTAATATGATGTGTATGTGGTGAATAAGTACGTGGCATCAGTTGTGTTGATGATCCATGCATAAACATCATATCACGTGCATGAGGTGATGGTTCTGAACTAAGTAAATTACCCATATGTGGATGATGATGAGGAGGTGGTGGACCATGCATCATAGATGGTGGTCCTGCTCCATAAAACTCATAAACAAATTGACCTGGTTGTGGTGGAGGAAGACTTTCAGGATGCATCATATGCGGAGGTGGAGGATCACGTGAACTGCCAAAATACATTGGTGGTAATGATTGTTGTTGTGCTGGTTGCATATCTTCACCAGGAGATGATGGAGTGTTACTAAGTGATGGTAATTGATTGTCATTACCACCAGAACTTGTATTAGTAATGTCTTTTTTGAATCCATTGATTAATATATTTAAAATATGATCCAATTTTTCTCGTTTATCTAAGCTATACAAGAAAATATAAAAACTTTTTCACAAAGAATAGCGTCTTACTTTAATTTTTCATCAACCTCTTTGATATGTTCATCAATGTTAATGGTTATTTGGTTTCTCCGACTTGTTTTCTCTTTCTAAAATTTTTTTCAAATCTATATTATTATATTTTTTTCAAAAATATTTTCTTTACTTGAACGGCCAAAAAAATATTATTTTTTCTTCGTCGTGCATCTACTTGAACATCAATATGATCATATTGATATCGACTGATCCATGTTTGACTCACAATTAATTCAGAACTAGGTGCATGTGTCTTTAACAAAATAAAACAAAATATGCCGACAAAAGTTTTGATTTTTCTTACTGAATTTTTTAATCCAATAAAATCATTTTTTTCTAATACAGAATGTATATATTGAACGATAAATGTGAATTTGTCTGTAATTGATTTCTTATTTGTACATAACATTTGACTATAATCTAGAATAAAAATATTATTGAACATATTTGAATGTGTTCGTCATGTTGCATTCGATATACAACATTTTCTAGTTGATACACGTGATTATGTGAATTGATGTAAAAAAAAACCTCGAATCAGTAACTAACTTACCTTAGATAACAAGAAATCTAAATATAAATTATGGAGGAGAATAGAAAGAAAAAAGAATTTCAATGTGTAGTATGCATAAACGAATAAATCTCAATACTCTATCGAATATCTTTCGATACATGTGTCGTGCAATTGTTTGAATAGAAAGCAAATGATGTCAGATTGAAGAGGTGAATAATTCATAATGAATATTTCTTTGTTTTCTTCTTAAACACCGATATGGGCAAAACTAGCCAGCGGTCACCCACGCATGGGGAGGGTTCGAACTCAAAAGTAGAGAAAGCTGAGTTTAGCATTGAAAAGAGCATGATCAACAGTGTATAAAATGAAAACGTTTCTGTTCCTGTGCAGCTTTAAATGTCTCAGACACACGAAATTTTTCTTAGGATTATTAACTGGAAAATTTTTGTGAAAGATAGTAGTGGAATACGTCATTAAATAAACACAAATGAATAGAATAAAAATTCTTCAATTAGATATGAAGCGATTGAATACGAAGTACTCTTTCCATACATAGCCTTTATACAAATGTTAGATATCCATGAAACAAAATGATGCTTTCACAAACCATCTCCATTTTTAATGAAATTCCGTAACGAAACTTGCTTATAATGTGTTTTGCTCGCTTACCTTGCTAATTGTTGCAATCTTAACGACACCTACAGATAGAACTCAACGAGCTCTATCGAATACACTTATTTTCAGTGTAGTTTGATTTACTTTCCTCATCTGTTTCCTATAAATACTGCGTTACGGAATTTCATCAGTGTCCGAAAATCGCAGTGTGTTTTTAGACTATTGAATGTTTCATGCTGTTTTTGTTCATATATTTGGTTATATTTGGAATCAGCATCGAATTTTGAACAAAATGGAGTATTTAGTTTTTCAAAATTTAAACTTTAAATTTTTTCGAAAATTTTCCGGGTCGAAAAAAGCGAAATTTTTTTTTACTGGATTCTAATAAAAAACATACCATTTGGTGCAGAATCGAACTTTGAGAAGGTTTATATGGTTGGCTTTGATATTTTTTGATTTTATCCCAGTCCAAACTTCGATTTTTGAAAAAAGGTTGAAATTCCGTAACGAACAGTATTTTTTAGTTTTTTATTCAATGCGTTTAGGTTTGTTCAAAACTAACTTTATGTTCTAAAAGCTTGTGGAAAACTGAGCAACTTTTATATAGACGGTTTATTTACATGTTTCTTGATTTCGTAGTAAAATGCTAAACATTCAACTCACCCTTAAAAAAATTCCATTTTTTGAAATTCCGTAGCGGTCAATGTTTTTTGAATAGCTCAGGTTTGACCAAACGAAAATGAACAAAATTTTTACTCTTAATAGACCATCATAGTCTCCATCTATGGTAAAACTTTCGGAGAGTTTGCTTTGATCTGTGAGGAGATATTGTTGTTGCAATGCAAAGAAATTGAAATTCCGTAACGCTGGTTTGACCCATATCTATTTAATGATCTTTTTATTTAAAAGAATAAATATTCTATATATAAAATGTAGAAGATAAACAAATGATTTGAATATTTCATTTGTTTTATCTACATTTGATTTGCTAACTCGATGTGAGAATAGATCGAATATAGTTGATTTTCATCTGATTTAAAATTAGATAAGCAAAAAACAAAGCATAATACGATTATGTGTTCAAATCAACATTTTAAAACTAATCTGCTCTAACGTAAGAAGAATTGGCAGGAAAAAAAACAAATCTAATTCTTACCGAGTTCATTGATATGTTGGATTTTTCTTCATTTTCTTGTAAAGCTTTTCATAAATAATATTGTTTCATTTGTATTATTTCTTGTTGTTGTCGTTGTTTCATATTATGTACATGTATACTTGTTTTTTCAGTCTTTCAAAAAAACAAAACAACAAATTTAGATATTCAATATAAATATTAATCAGATATTCTTTTACTTGTTATTTATAAGCATTGATTTGTTCACAAGATTCATTAGCAAGAGTTGTCGCATCACGAAGACATTTTTTAAGTATACGAATAATTCGATTAATCTTTTGTTTTTCTCTATAAGAAAAAGAAAAAATATTCATTTTCATTTGAAATATCTATTTGTAAACATACTGAACTTCATTAATTGTTCTTTAAGTAAATGAACTTTTGCTGCAAATTGCTCCAAGCATTGTGCTTAAGATTTTTCGTTAGTAAATTCTTCATTTTCTTCAAGTTTTTCATGTAATTCTCGATATTCTCATTCAAGATTATTACCTATAGCCTATTGAATAATTCGAAATCAATTTGTTAC